AAAAAATTACAAATTTAAAAATCGCTAATTTTCGAAATTTTTTCAATTTTTTTTACTAAAAACTGCCGTAACTTTTTCAAAAATGAACATATCAATATAATTTTTTTTTTGTAGATGCTTGATGTCTTTACCTATTATTTGATATATTTTTTTTGTAAATTTGACCTTTTTTCTGCCCACATGGGGGGATTTAAAATGACAACTTTTTCACAAAAAATGAACTTTTTCAACTTGACTTTTGAAAATGTTCCTGAAGGTCTGACACTTTTATATATATCTTAAATTAAAGCTAATGTAATATAATTTATCATGGAAAAAAAAATTTTGGACTTTATTTTATCTTCATGGTGAAAACAGACATCAAAGTTTATAAAAAAAATACGATTTTTGTAAAAAAATTCATTTTTATATTTTTAATTTTATAATGCTATAACATTTTAAAAAAATGTATGGATCAATATAAATTTTTTTTTATAGATGCATGATGTCTTTACCTATCACATGGTATATTTCTTTTATAAATCTGACTTTTTACCTGCCTATATGGGGGGGATTCAAAATGACAACTTTTTCACAAAAAATTTACTTTTTCAACTTAATTTTTTAAAGTGTGAAAGTCTGACACTTTTCTATATATATTAAATTAAAGCTAATGTAATATACTTTGTTATGGTAAAGAAATTTTATTTTAATTACTTTATTTTGTATTCACGGTGGAAATGGCTACAAAATGCTATTATTGTGTGAAAATTCTTAATTTAATTTTTTACATTTTTAACTTTATAATGCTATAACTTATTGAAAAGTGTATTGATCAATGTAATTTTTTTATGGGAAATAATATTTTTTAATAATCCCTTTTTCATTCGACATACTTTATCTTAATCAGGATATTAATAAAGAACTAGCAGTTTATGAAGCTTTTGGAATAATCTACCAATTTTTTAAAATTAAACACTATCTAAATATTTGCATCGAAGCGTTTTTTTTTGATAGTGATTTTAATCACTGTCAGATATCATTATACTTGATCCAACTATGCCACGTCACCACTGTGCCGCGACCCCTCTGTGCTGGGTTTTTTTTTTTACTTAAAATTGCTATAACTTTTTTAAAAATAACCAAATCAATATAATTTTATTTTTTATAGATGCATGATATCTGGTTGAGCGCAATGCTCGATAATTAATTTACCAAAAAAAGAACAATTATTTTGTCTTTAATATAACCTCATACCTGTGA